TTCTGATGATCAGCTTGAGGAGACGATCCGAGTCCTTGCATCTTTTTACGGCTTTGTTCCAGACGGGGAAGTCGTGTATTTTGAATAGAGTCCGGAAGTCCGGAAGCCCTTAAGGCGGCAATTCTCCTGCAAAGCGACATCGTGGCAAAAGAGAGAGCTGTCAATGGGCAGCCCTTCGCGCATTGAAGGAGAACCTCACCCTGAACGCCACGGTTGCTGCTGCACCGGAGGGCAGCTCGACCCTCAGAGTGCAGTTTGTGGCCTCGGCGCGTTGCTCACCCCCCCCCCCCCCCCAGGGCGCATCTTCGTGCCCATGGATGGTGGTGTCGGCCGTGCCTGTCGTGGGGCACACCGGGAAGACTGGCGAGGCTCGGGCCTTTGGGCTCCGCTCCGCCTGTGCCTCCGCCCGCCTGTTTCGTCCTTGCTTCGCCGCTGAGGCTCCTACGTGGTAAAGCATCGCGGCCGAAGCCTGGAAATGTGCAAGCTCATCTGCAGGAGCTTCGGTGTGGAAGGCTTTTCCAGGGACGTCTTACCTGCAACGGGCGAAGTGCATCTTGACCTCGGTTGAAAACCGCACATTGTGTCTTCGTCGAGGTTGAGCGCATCTGCCAGGAGCCATCCCCTCTGCCAAGGCATCGAATACAACGATGCCGCTCAGCAGACTGATTGGGGATGCAGGGCTCGCTGAGTGCACGACCTTCCGGATCATCCTAATCCATGTGCAAAATGCGCTCCGAGGATTGTGAGATGTGGGTCCGCGCAGAGGGCATCGGTGCCCCATCTGGCAATTTGGGCTTCGAAGATGCGCCGCGCTGAGCTGTGTGAGGCGGGCATCGAACTGAGGTTCTTCGGTGGCCTACGAGGGCCCGGCTCGCTTCTCCACCTGCCTGCGCTTGCTCCCGCAGGCCCGGCCCCGGCCGTGTCCCTAAGAAGCAGGTGTTTTTCAGCGGCCGCATTCTTTTTTGGCGCGCGCCTCCCTGGAGGATCTGGCCCCGGAGACGCGCTTCACCAGCCAGCAGGGCCGGAAGTGCCGAAGGAAGCCGGGGCCCCGCACAATGAACTCCCTTCTTTGTCCCTCGGCCTCCCTCAGCCTCTCGGCATCTCTCGGCCAAGGCCTTACACCATGGACCAGGCCGCAGGATGCAACGGGTGGAAAGGCCGAGCTGGCGAGTTGAGCATAGTTGAGCTCTGCATCTGCATGCTTTCATTCGGTCTTCTACTCACTGAGATTCCAAGATATGCACCGTGACTGGACCAGGACTGACAATCGAAGGCTGCAAGGACCATCTCGAATTCTGTGATCGGCTTCGCCATTCCATTGGCAGGTTCTTTCTATCTGAAGTGTCAGGTGATCTCGATTTCGGCATCAGCTTTGCACTGTTCTATACAAGCTTTGTGTGGTTTCACTGCAGCCTGAGCTCTGGAGTCTGTACGAGCGAGCGCCTTCCAGTGCAGTGCCCGTGGACCAAGCCTGTCGGGCTGCATCTTGATCTTTGCATGCTGTCAAGTCCAGGACAAGTGTCGCATGAACAGCATTGCAGAGAAGTGTCCGGCGAAGCTTTGCGCAGCGGCAGTTTTCTTCACGTTCCCTGGCTTGGTGAGGCGTCTTCGCATTGCCGGTCATTTGTTTTGTTAGCTGTGCTGCCAGGAACTCGGGCTTCTGTCACCTCTACGACGAGTGTGAAGAGACGGAGCCAGACCGGAGCGCTCTGCTTCTCCACCGGGAGGCGCCGGAGTCCCGGAATCCGCTGCTGGTCCGAGTCGCCGCCCTCCAGGTCACGGCCTTGCAGACCTGGCCTGGCCTTGTCGAGAAGGGCGAGGAGTGCAACCCGAGCTTGGCTCTGCATCGGATCCGTCATGACTTGGCACTTGGAGGCCTCTCCTGAGTTCGCTTTCCCTTTGCAAGCCAAGGAATCCTGGCATGTTCGACTTCGGCACGGGCCCTCAGTCGTTCAGCATCCTGGCCCAGCTGTCGAACGTCAAACTGAAGAAAATCCAAGGCGGGACATGTAACAACTGCAGCCACAGCACGTTTGTAAGAGTGTGCTCTTTTACAGGACAAGTGCAAGGCGCTATCCTGAGCAAACTCAGCACAGGACGAGGCTGGAGGGAGCGATAGGAGATGACAGCAGGTTCTGAAGTGAACAATGGTCGAGGCAAGAGCTACTGGCCTGATGCCCGCGGGTGGGAGTTCGGCGTCATCTACGATAAGAAGCCGAGCTCTCATCTGCGGGATTCCGGCAAGCCGGAAGCCAGGTTCCCAATGTGCCAGACTGATGCAGACCTATGCAGACACGGAGCCAGAACTCCCACGGGTGAGCTGAAGGGTGCGGAGCAACCCCAGCAATGAGGTGCCGATGCCGACTGCTGCGCTTCCTCTTGCGCACAGTCTCCGGGCATACGCTCCTCACTCTGAGAGCTCTGCCTTTTCGTGTAATGGCCCTGTAGTGAATTTGTCGTGGATGGCCAGACGCTGTTTGGGCTTTGGGTTTGGCGTGGCAATGCGTCGCACCCATCAACAGAGCACTTCACCATTGCACCCAGCGCCCTGTTATTGCATGATCAAGGTTTTACGGGTACGGCACGACCCCGCTGACAGGGGCAGAGGCGGCGCTTTCTCGCCAGTCTCTTTCAGCCTCAAGAGGTACTCGAAGCTTTCGAGGGGGCGTCTCTTTTCCGCGAGCAGAAAGCTACTGACTTGACCGATGCTTGAAGCCTGCACCTGCTGAAGACCTTTTGCACGACAGGTGGAAGTTGCAATGTCTTTCGATGCCAAGGCTGCCTAAAGGGCCTTGAACTTGAACCATACAAGTGGTCTTTGCTATTTTCATAGGTGGTGGTTCGCTGAGAATCTGGGAATCCTGATAGCAAGGCTTTGGAGATGACAGCTTTTGAATGCTTTCATGCTCAGCTTGAGAGGAGTGGGCAGTGCCGCCTGGGCGGTGATAGGTCTGGCTAATCAAGCTCATACTTTCACTGCTGTCATGTAGAGGCTGCGAGGCTGTTTGCAAGTAGCCTGGATCCGACCTGGACAACATGTTCCAAAATTCGGGACTTGCTCTACCCTGTCCAGGATTTCACCACCACTATGTGGGTCAATGGCAAGGAGGATACTGCAGTAGCTGTTGCAGGTAACGGGGCGCAGATGCCGGAAATCATGATGGCGAGGTCTGTGTGTAGCGCTCAAGCTGGTTGATGTGGGCAGCCAGTGACTGCTTGCAAGCCTGTCAGGAGAAAGTTGCACAGCGACCTCAGTGGTATCGCACCCGCTTCGCCGGTGATTTCTCCTCGCGTGCAAAGCTAACGTGCCCAGCGCCGCAGTATAAATCAGGCGGACACAGATTCAGGCATTCAGACAAGCAGCCATGAAAGAGCTGGCAGACACCCTGCTATAGCTAAGTTAAGCCGCTTCTGACTGATCCACTTCAGAAGGCAATGGCATCGTTAGCAGACTCGATTGGCCGGCGAAGCGGTGGCTCCCGGCTCTTCGACGGCCTCTTGCTCGGAGGAACTCGGAGTGCCGATGTAAGAACCGTAAGAGACTGCCAAGGCCAGCTCTTCAACGTGGTTCTCTACCGCGGCGTGCTGGAGGACAAGGCCAGGCAGCTCTGATCCACGAAGTCTTTCAGCGCAGTGTTGGCAGCTGCGGGAGGACTTTGGTGTGGAGGTCACCACTCTGAAGTATCAGTTCGTTGGAGTTGGAAGGACGCTTAGCGATGACTGGATCCAGGCCAGGAGCAGCAAGTGCCCACGGAGTGAGGGTGGGAGATAGTTGTACCTCCGAGCGGTCAGGAGTATCACCCAGCAGGGCAACCTTGCCCTCCTCAGCTGAAAGACCAAAAGTCAGCTTGGCTAAGCCATTTTGGATCAAGACTCCAAAGCTGGGCTCTGTGACAGGTCCTTTGTGACTGACTCCCGGCTTGATCCCATGTCCGAGAACCTGTCTCCCGTCGCGTATGAGGCTGCCGTGGACAACTTCAATGCGCTCGCGGAAGCAATGGGCGGAAGGGGGGCTGATGACATGACTTTTGAGAGCACTGACGGAGAGAAGTTGGAGGAGATGGTCTCCGATTGCGGAAATGGTGAGATTCTTGTCTTGCTTGGGGGCGGTGATGTGGATATGACGAAGCATTCAAACAAGCTCTACATCAGTGAGCCTCGCTCTGACGAAGACATTTACGAGTACATTCACAGCTTCGTTATCATCAAGACAGAAGAAGAAGGAGTGCAGTGCTTTCAGCAATATCCCGGCGGGATGGACAGTGACAAGGAACTCTTCTCAGTTGAGCCTGAGTTCTGGGATGGCTTGCGACGCTTAACAGCCCACAGCCGCGCGGGAGTGGTCCCAAAGACTTTCCAGCGTCTCTTCTGTGGCAGCGTTGAGCCATCGCCAGCACTGCTTCCACAACATGATACGATGATCGTGAAGGCCCTTGCCTATTGATGGGCTGGTTCGTCGTTGTCAAATTTACTTCACGTAAGTGGTGGTCTGAGATTCACAGTTTGCCTGTTTGCTGTTGGTAAGCCATTAATTACGACAACACGGCCGACCTGTGCGAACCTAGTTTTGAGCTGCTTGTCAGATCACTCCCATGAACATGTCCATTTCTGCGATCTGTGCATTGGTGTTGCTCTTCTCGTGGGAGTGAAACACGAGAGCAGTTCACGACCTGCCTGAAGACCGTCACAAAGATTGGCCTTAAGCATCATCTTGTTCTTACCTTGAAGTGTTGCTGTTGGTGCTCTGCGGGGCCAGAACACGACGGCCTCATACAGGCATGATTCGTCACTTGAATGGTGACAGTGCAGCATCCCCCCTGGCACGAACGGTTTAGCTCAAATGAGCTGTGGGGGTAGTCATCGTTTCGCTATCTTCCGGCACACCAAACTCGCCCGGGGTCTTTCCCTGTGGCTGTGGCGAAGAAGACAGTGAGGTGCAGCAGGCTTCACAGTATGGTATGCCAGATCCGGGCTTGAGATATGCAATGTCCGCGTCTGAAGGTGCGGACGTCTCTGCTAGAAGAGGAGGCGCCATTGTGGGCGGAGGAGAACTTGAGCTTGCTTGCTGGCCTGACTTCAGCTTCGGTGGAGCAGTGCCATAGGAAGGAAGTTTAGATTTCTGTGATGTCGTCACTGCCGCAAGCCATCGGGCTCTTGCAGGGCATGGCTAAGCGACTGTGAACGAGCAGAAGTGCGTCCCTGCGACATGCAGGCCGACTCCGGCAGCGCCGGTGTCGCGGAAGCCGGCAATTGGAGCGAGGCGGAGAGCTCAACATGACTCAAGCTTATGTCATGACCGCTACTCGCAGGCTGTGCCGTGCAAGGGTTGCAGCCGCTACACTCAACACCGTGTTGGTGGAGTTTGCCAGTATGCAGCCTTGTTGCAATGAGTTCTTGGATGGAGATCGAAGAACGGCTTATCAGTGCGGCAACTGGTAAGTTGGCAAGACAATGCCAGACCACAGGGAAGTACAGCTTTTGTTGTTTCTTTCGGTGCTTCTTGTGCCATAGTTTCTCGAAGCCATCAGTACAGTAGATATGCTGAAGGCTGCATGTCTCGAGCAATTGCGGCTCAGGACAAGTCCAAGACCACGTGTGCAGTGTGCATGCCGCCGCATGAAGGAGCTGTCGACAATTAGGCATGCAGTGCATTCGAGTTACTTCCATACTCGTTGCTCTCCGAGTCTTCGGGCCGGGACTGCTGGGACTGCGAGGAGTCTTCAACTGCCAATGCGGCCGGCGCTTTCCGCACACCTGCGCCCCCTGTGGCAAAGAAGAGCTGTGCTCGTCCTTGGCCAATGAGGTGGGGCGGGAGGGGGTTTTTTGAACCATGCAGATAGAGTAGGACTGGCCTTGTCAACCGTCACTAAGTTCGTAAGGATCACAGGCAGAGCCTACCAATCCCCTGTCAGCCTCCGCTGGAGCTGGGACGCGCCACGATGAATGGCGTCAGCTTTCAGCTCAACTGTCAGTCCTCCGGAACTGCACCTTTGGCCGCAGAGCAGATTTTGGTTTGAACGTTCCAGCATTGCGTTGAATCGTTTGAGACCCGGGGATCCGTGTGTGAGTGCAGAGGAGTTTCTGGGCTTGGGCACAGTACATGCTTCGGTATTTATGAATTTCAGAACAGCGTTGCTCCAGAAATCTCTGCAAGCCCCTTAGCCAGGTGCAGCTGCAGGCGCAAGTGGTGGCACCTTACGGCCAGGGCCCAAGTTTGGATGTCCGGGAGATCTCATGGGCCGTGAGGCGATGGGTTTCACGGGTTTGCTCGCGTTGGTAAAGAGAGCTGGGAGGCAAGCAAGCAGGTGTGGGCCCAGCTGCAACCTAGTCGAACACACAGGGCATAAAGATGGCCCTTGAACACCGAGAACCTCAGCCGAAGCGTAAGTAACAACCTATCAGTGCCGCGCACGAATCCAAGCTTCACAAGGTGGCTCAGACGTGTTCTACCTCTCCATGGGTAGCTGCCCATCATGGAGGCTGGACAGAAGGAGTGAGTGATGGCATTGTCGTGGACTCTGCCACTGCTCTCATCTCTTGCGCTGAGGGATGCGATGTTGTTTTTCTTTGTTCCCGCAGGTGGTTCCTGCATTCGGGCTGGGGGACGAACTGCGCTGAGGACGGCATTGACGGCAGTGGGAGGTTGGGAGCAGTCTCCTTGTATCACAGTGTGGAAGACCTTTTGGCAGGACGACAACTGTGCGTATCAAGACGAGCCACGCTGGACCGTGAAGTCGGAGCCGTGTAAGTTGCTGGACTCACATCGAAAGGGCTCTGGGTCGGGAGGCGGGAATTCCTGTATTGCACAACAAAGGCTGCGAGAGGGAAAACATTTTGCCACTTGGAAGAATTCAATCAGCCAGGCAGTGCACCGCTTCATTTCTGTTTGTGCAAGCACTGGCTCGGCCCGGGATCCGGAATCCACGCCGAGATGGCACTGGACTTTCAGATTGCTCAGGTCACCTTTCGGCCCTCCCATCCCGGTGACATCAAACTGACGAGGCTGCTAGGAAAGGGGGTGGTTTGAGCTCGAGACTCGTCGACTCTGCGGCTCTGCCATTGATCCGGCGCGAGATTTTGTGCCCTGACCTGCCTCGCGTGTTGGACGCTGTGGTCTTGCAAAGCATGTTTCCAGCTCTTGCCGGCTGCCTTGCTGCCTGGGCGGGTGGAGGTTCTGAGCATGGGTGGAGACTCGGACAAACTTTGGCCACAGACCAGAGAAGCAGGGTGGGCGCACTTGCGAACTGGTGGCGACTCGATGGTAGGCTTGTAAAGTTGGATTGGCTTCGGAGCTGGACTGAAGCGGCTCCAAGTTCAGATCAGTGTGCAAAACGGCCGTAGTCGCCGTAACCGGGAAGAGAGGGCTAGAGAATGGCAAGCAGGGCTGCGTGCCCATACGAGAGTTCAAGACTCTAGCACAGCCCTGGATCGGACGCAGTGCCCCTCTCCTGGCTTCCGAAGGCTGCGGCTGACAAGTGGCTCCGATTTTTGCACGCCTCTTGACGGCAGACTCGTCCTGCAGCTGTTCAGGCAAGCTGCGTGTGCAACCGTAGGAAAGCTGCTTTCAGCTGGGTTTCTCTCAGAGCTGGCTCTCAGGTTTGAGCCACTTCCACCTGCCAGCACTACGACAACCACGACCTACACGACTCCACCGTCGGGAACTGAGGATGGCCCGCTTCTTTCCGAGAGCATGCCAGTGACTGTTCATGCTTACGAAGAAGAGCAGGCAAAGATTTCCGGGATGGGGCCTTCAAGTGAAACTTGCGAATCGAGGTACTTGCAAGGCGCTTGCCCATCTGAAGCAGAAGAAGCCACCGATTTCAACAACTGCCCTTTCCGATACTACGTCACGGCCTGAGGGCTGTGTCGACGCCGTCGGCGCGCTTTCTTGCGGTGTCGCTTCTGGATGCATGGGTTCCGTATCCCGCCTCTTGCGAAGGTTTTGGAAGTGCTTTCCACCGCCGGGGACGAGGCAAGGCTCCACCACCGGCGGCAAGCCAGCGAGATTCGGAATGTAGCAGGCCGCGTGGAAGATCGGCGAGTTGCGCCTCTACCACCTCAATGCCAGGGGACGACTTCGGAAGCCGCTCGCCACAGATTTGATTTGGCTGAGTGGAAGCTGCAGGACCGACCGATCTCCAGAGAAAGCAGTGTATGATCCCTGGGAGTTTTCACTTGTTCAGACTGCTGTGCATACTAGTCCAGTTCTTGTTACGGTATACTAAGAGCACCTTTGTGCCACTTGTGCCGAAAAGCGCCTTCCAGCAGCTCACCTTAGGTTCCCAAGCTCAGATGTGCGCGCAGAGCTCGTCCAGGAGCATTTGCGCATCTGCTTCTGTGCAGGCTTTGCGGAATATCTCGTCCTTGCGACAGACTTTTGAACTCTCCCCAGCAACTCTCGGTGATGCCGCTCAAGCCTGCCATTCTGCAACTAGCCCTTGGGATCCATGTGGCGACTTCATGTTTCAGAGATGCAGAGTGCTCAGACGAAACGGATTGTGAGAGGTTTGGCTCAGGGATACGCGTGTAACGTGCCAACTGTCGCTTGTTCGGCACTTTGTGGGCGCATGAAACGATGAAAAGGAGAGCGTATTCGAGCAACGCGGATAGGGGCCCCTTGCCTGTCGCCCGTGGGGTGCGAGAGTCATGCGAAGTGTAAGTGCTATCCCATCGGTCTGAATTCAGTAGACGGCGGCGAGAGCTATTCACGAAAGGAGAGGTGGAAGGCAGCAAAGCAGCAAAGCTGCATGATGCTGAATGCAAGTACGACTCCAGTGCGACCCAAAACAAGCCCGAATGCCTTCTGCAGGACGATGCCGAGACACGAGGCTGCGAAGCGAGCAATGCCTCCAATGCCTTTGACCTGTCTGTCTTCAGCGGCCTTTGCTCGCCGACACCCGAACCAAGATCTTCAGAGCTTCCTTGTGGGTCTCTGGCAGAGTCCGGTGATGCAGATGTGATGCAGGAAATTAGTTCGCCCTGCACCTTGCAGCGTCTGCCTTTGTAGGGTTGGGAGAAGGTCTGCGAAATCGTTAAGCCTTTGGTCCTTTCCTCCTGCTATATGCAAAGTTCCTCCAGACATTACTGACTGACTTCCACTGACACTGCTGGTTGCTCGTTCTTGATTGGCACTGTCTCTGCAGCATGATACACAGCCTTTACAACCGGGCATTCGGATATGTCAGCTCGACATCGTCAACACAGCAGAGATGGCTGGTACATCATGAGGTTGGGCCAGCACCTGTACCGAGGAGCCCGATGATCAAGCTGAGATTGGATCTGGGCCGGGGTGTCTCCATCGCCAAGTACACGGTAGCCCGGCAGAAGGGAAAAGAGATTCCTAGACCCAACGAGCGTGTTCCCTGAGCCGGCCCTCCCGAGAGATTTCTGTCTGATGCAGCTTTCATGAGGTCATCAGCGCCAATGTCTCTCGGCCAAGTCATAGATGGTCACATCAAAGCCACTCCCATGTCACTGACTCTCGTTTGGTGCGACCGTGGTGTCCTTTTCCGTTTCGTGACGATTTCCCGCCAGGCCTCGAGTTCCTTCGATCCCAAGTCCTGGAGGCCGGAGAGTTCTCGGCTGCCCACCAACGCTGAGAGCTCCGGTAGAGTCCTCCGAGGCTATGGGGTTCAGTTGATGGGGCAACAGCGAGCGACATGCGCGCAGCCCAGGATGGAAGCGCCTTGACGAGTGCAAACATGGCCGTGTGTACTCAGGACATCGCTTTCCACGGCAGTGAAGCTCAGCGACGTGTCCCAGGCAGCACTGTTCGGAGCGCAGCATCGAACGTGCTATGTAATCGTCTAATGAAGACATTTTGGCAGGTGTAAAGTCATGATTGGTGAGAATGCTCAGAAGCGACATCCCTGGCCTGCGACAGCTAGGCGTACTTCCCATCTGCTCGCTGGATGTGTGATCCTCCGTGGGGTGTTCCACGAAAGCGAGGCACCCTGAAGATAGATTCTGACACTTTGCAAGTGACCGTGGCTCAATGCTGCATACAGCAGAGCTCGTCAAGCTCCAAACTGTACCATCGGTGAAGGCTACCACTGCATGGCCACAACAACGACGACGACAACGGAGGCCCGGTGAAGGTTTGGCCATATTCTTCGAAGCAAGGTCTGCAGCTCATGGACAAAGAGTTTTTTTCGTTCTTCTCTCTTGATATGTCCCCAAACTTAACACAGCTTACATGGCTGCTTCAGAATGGCCATGAATGGCCCAACAGGGTTCATTGTCACTGAATTGCCGTTTGCTGGAGGTGGAGGAGGAGATCATTGCGACCACGACGACCACCACTGCTATGATCAAGAAAGATCGGTGCTTTTATAGAGCCTCGACAGATGACGCAGAGCTAGTTCAGTCTTGTGTCTGCTGGGGATCGTTTCCTCCATCCCGGCTTTAAGTACACTGCCAGGCAGCATGTTTGGTTTCCGAGGATACTATGCGCTGCAAGTGCTGCAGGCCAATGACGCGAAGGCAATGCATGTCCTGCAAATTGCAAAGTCAAGCAAAGGCTCCCTCCTGTTGCAGTGGACGAGTTTTGGCGATCCTCAGGCGACAAGCTGGCAATTGGCAGAGTTGGAGCTCAGGCAGAATGGCAAGGTCGGGAATCCGCAACGCCGCCAGCAGTCGTGTAGCCATGCTCTGGCCATGCTGCAATTTGTCAGGCCTTGCTTTTGCCAAAGTCGCGAGGGTCAGCTTGGTGACGGACTCAGATGTCATGTGAGTGTCAACACTGCCGAACACGGACCTTGTAAGACTTTTCAGTTCGACTCAGGAGCAGTACTTTCACGATTCAGAAGAAAATCATAGCACAGCTTCAAGTCCTGGCAATCTGAGCAGCTCATGTGCCCAATCTCCTTCACGAGGTTCGTCCACGGCCGTGCCAGAAGGCCAACTCGTTCCTGCAAAACGACAGTTTGAAGTGTCCATCCCGGACTCTTGAGAGCTGCTCTCTTTCGATGCTCTCTCCAAGTCTGATGGGTTATTCCGGGAGGCCCGGGACAGTTCTTGATGCAGGGCGCTCAGTGTCGGCGTGTCGACGGGCCCAGCCATGCAGGGGATCTCCCTTCACCATCGGTCTTTGCGAAAGCTGCGTATTTAGTCCCCGGGCCCCCAAGGTCCAAGACTTGCATGCCCAAGGACCATTCCAGGAGCACCGAGGCTCCTACGATACCCAAATACGCACCGCGCTGTGGCGGCAACACCCCCACAATCACAGCCCGGTGGGACTGTGGCGGGAGCAGGGTGCTTGGAGGGGGAAACGCGAGTGGAAGTCGCAAGGTTTCCTAGTGCCGGACTTTTGTGGGAGTTCGACGCGCGTGGCACTGTCGAGGAAGCATGATGTGGAATTGATCCTTGATTGTATGCATCGCACAACAAGTGACATGCAACCTTGAACACAAATCTCGGGCCCTGCCTGGAGTTGCGCTTCACGGGCCGCCCTAACTTGTGGAATCACAAGGTGCTGCCCGGAGTGACGAATCGCAGGGCGCATCAGGGCGCCACAAGCTAAAAATCCGTGACTTGACGCTCGAGGACTACCTAGGTATATCTGGGTATTTCTGCGCGTTCGAACAATGTGGGCGAGCGGATAAAGGAATCCTGACGCACTAGAGGAAAATCAAGAACAGGTTTGACTCACGTTCTAGATTCGACATGTGCGTGTGCGTGTGTGTGTGTGTGTCTAGTGCTCCGAATCTGATTAAACGAGCTTGTGATTCATTCTTTCTGATGTCCTTTATGTACGGTTCGTTGTCGATCTTGATGATTCGTCGGATGCTGTGGGTTTGTGGGAATGACTACGAAGTGTGTGGCGAAGCTGGTGATGGAGACGAAGGGGTCGTGTCTTGAGCCTTCGTCTTGTTAATCTACCGGAGTCTATTCTCTGAGGACGGCACGGAGGCTTTCAACGTCTTGGATGGAAATCTGGCAACCGTGGTTCCGTTCTCAGTTGGCTTAGCTTGATGGAGCTTGACGTCGCACAACACATGGCTGTCCCTCCGACCGTTGCGCAGGCACAGCCGGATGGGGCCTTCTCTGCGAACTACACCTCCGTGCAACTGGCTTTCGGCCAGCGTGTTCGCGTGGTGCGGAGTAGCCTCTCGGATGCTTTCGCTGGGATTCTGCGCCCATTCTGTGTTAACCATGCTGGCTTTAGGGTGAGTCCCGAGTCCTCCTCACCTTTATGACTGATGACTGTCAAATGACTCATTGCGCGCAGCAACATTTCAGAGACGGCACTGCCTTGGCTGCTCTCTGAAGAACTAGTTGCATGTTTCTGCTCTGGCGATCGGGACTCGAGCATCTGTTCCATTTCACGCCACCTTGAGCTCTTGCCGCGGCGAACCCAAAGGGGCAACAATAAGCCTGCAAGCCGAGAGAGCTACAGCTACACGAAGTCGGTGGTCGCAGGCCTGATCCAAGAAATCGAAGCCTGCAGGTTCCACCTTCGATTATGCAGAAGCACATTTCTGCATGGACGCAGATGAGGATACTCGTTGCAGCACTGCCTGGAACGGAGGCGGGCTTTGGGAACAGACAGCTCTGACTTTCGGAGTGGTGCCGGCAATGCAGAGGCAAGGTTCTGGGTTCATTTAGGCACGCGAAGCATCTTTGATTTGCAGGCATTGTAGTCGTTTGGACAGAAACCTCGTCAACATTGCTGAGGTTCAGGCGAGCTGAACCCGTGGTGGCAAGTGGACCTCGGAATCCGCGAGGCTGTGTTCTGGTTGTTATACGTGTAAGAGGTTCTCCTGTCTGGTCTCGCCCATTTCTCTGTACGCGAGAGTGACGTGCGTCGGTTCGACATTCTCACGGCAGCCCCGCTACGGCACGACCGGTGAACGACTTGCTGTGGCTGGTGGTTGTGCTTGCACGAGCGTCACCCATGCCTCAACTCAGTTTTAGCAGTTTGGTTATGCAGGCTTCGGATGTTAAAGTTGCGAACACCCAGATTCGAAACCGTGTGGTGACTGTTGCTCGAGAGGCTGTGGAGATTGTCGCGTTGCTGAGCCACCCTGACGGCCCCTTGAACAGCGAACTCTTTTGCGATCAAGGGGGCAGAATTCTATCAGATTGTCATGACTCGCAGCGTTCTTCTGCGAACGATTATCTTTTCAGGGCTCCACTGTCTTCCAAGATGCAGACAGGCAGTTTCTTGGCCGGTCGGATGACAGGCCATCTAGATGCACGTAGCGTACAAGATAGTGCGAGTAAATCTTCTGTGACGGTAACATACGGTAACGTGAACGTAAGCAATTCTCATGCTGAGCCCTCAGGCTGTGAAGCACGCTATGGCGTAGACGTTGGAGACAAGTGACTCGGCAATTATCAGTCACAACTGGCGCTCCGAGACGTATCGCCGAGCCTCGTCAGGTGCACGCCCACTGGCGCCGTCGTCAGCGTCAGCGACGTCTCCTGCACAGGCAGGGTCCCAGATTTGATCAGGTTGCCATAGTGCTTCGATGATTTGCTGGGACCTCGGGTGATCTCGGATATTTGTTGCAGCCAGAGTCGGGTGATTTCAAGTGCAAATAAATATGGCCCCGAAACATGTCCACCTTTCCCAGAGCCACACATTGCTGGTGGCAGCACTTGAGACCCTACAATGACAATACAATACCTCGACTTTTGCCCGGAGGCCACACTTGTCCCGGTGAGCCCTGCGGCAAGTTGGAGGTCACTGGCAAAGACAACTGGTACTATGCGACTTGGATTGTTTTATTCTGAAGGGCTGCGGCCCGGAGGAGACAAGGCATATTGGCATCGACCAGGGTGTGTTGAACAGCCCCGTCATGTTTCTGCGACGCCGTCGTGGGCGGGGCTGAAGTTACCAGGCTCCCTGGCGTCGTGTACCCAAAATTCCTGAGGGAACGGACCTGAGCATGGCCATGAGCTGTTGCATTCGCCGCCCTTGACATGCCAAGGTCTCCTGCGAAGGCAAAGTGGGCCGCTACGTGCAAGTTCAGCTGAAGGGCCAGCGAGTCCTCAACTTCCGTGAGTTCCGACTCCTGGACAAGGCTGGCAGGTCCAAAAACAACAGCTTCACGAGCCGTGCCGTTGCAGCCGACCTCTCGGCAGGACATGGTGACTGATGTGGATCTTCCGGAACCTTCACAGAAGGCGGCCATGGACTATTTCGCTTCATGGTATGAATAGCGGCACATGCCCGCTTTTTAAACATCCTCCTGAGCTCGATTTAGTAACTTAGTAGCTTCGTGTGTGAAGCATTCCTTGCTGGGTCAGCGTCAAGCATCAATGAAGAGCGGCAGCTGAACGGAAGCGCCGAATGTTTCGTTGCGATCGCAAGTTCACCAACGCCCACCAGCTACACTCTGCCACACCCTCGAGACCCCGGCCTCTTCGTCTTCTGATTAGAATCTAGCACTTGCCCCGGCTTCGTGATCGGAGCACCTCTAAACACACTGTGGAAATGCGAAACGAAACCTTCCCGTTGCGACCAGAGCCCTTAAGTGTGTGGGAACGCATCGTCGCTAAGGTTCGAGCAGACCGTAATGGCTACTATGACACTCGGTGTCATGAGCCACCTGGTCTGCACTACAGTAGGCCCAGGGTGTGCGGCGGCAGCGCAAACTGTTGGCCTTCTGAACGAACTTCTTTGCGCTGTCTGGTGTAGGAAGGGCCCGAAAAATTCACCAAAATCCAAAAGCCTCCGTCCTGCTGCTGTGCTCAAGGAACCTTGCCAGTACCATCCGCGGCTCCAGCGCAGCGCTTAGAGACATGTCGAGTCAAAGACTCTCCGCGCAAAATTGCCACGGCCCGGGATGCAGATTGAAACCCTGAGTTGAATCTGTATCGAGACGGATAAGTCCATGATCATCCCGGGCAGCTAGCACGAAGATCGCGGATGTCGCGCCCAGTGGCAGGTTGCCTCTGGGCAGCGACTGCCAAACCCAGGCCCGAAGAAGTTGGAGGAGTGCGCACAAGCATGCCGCTCACTCAGCGCACGTCATGAGCGCAGAGTGCAGAAGGTGCTTGAGCTTTCGCCCTCACGGCTCAGAAGTTTGATGGAGCCTCGTTGTCGGAGTTTGGTAGCCTGGGGCACTTGCGAATGCCACTTTCTGTCGACTTTACGGTACAAGTAGCTTGAGGCCTCAATCACGGAGACTGTGGAGGTTTCTCTGACTACAGTGGTATGGCCTGTGCCGGGCACCGAGAGGATCAGGTGTTGGCTTGAGGGCATCCTTGGATCCCCGGTGCATGACCTGAAAGTTTCAACAGGCGAGGGTCGTTGCCGGGCCAAATGCAGAGCTATTGAAGCGAAGCAAAGGAGTTCTTTTGCTTCCTCAAGTCGAGTTGAAGAAACTGCTGCTGTGCTTCTGTCACCATTATCTCCAGGGTGCTAGACCAGACGAGCTGAAGCAGCTGAGATATGTCGTGAAGTGGAAGCAGCGCCAACGCCGTCACGAGCATCCGTCCGGACAAATTGGAATTTTGATGAAACGAGTTATATGCAACCAGAAGAACAGTACGAGACAATTACACTAGAAATACACGACCGAGTGCAAGACGATATACAACAAATATAGAGGAACAGCATGATTAGCTGCGAGAACCTGCGAGAGAAATGCGGGAGTACAACACAACAGTAGCCTTTTTCCCGGGGATGGGACGTTAGGTCTCCCGTGGCGTGTGTTGTCAAGGTTGTCTTGAAACAGGATGATACCATCGTATTCGTTTATCTCACTTTTCCAGATTCCACCGCCAGATTTATCGTATGTTTGTTGTGAACCCTCTCAGGGCAGGAATTGCATCTTTGACAGAAATACGAAGACCAAAATCACGGGAATGATACGGAACACAGCGGTTTCCATGCTTTCTGAAGAAAGCTATGAATATGCAAACATCGCCTGACGGTTCTGCAAAGCAGGTCATCATGACGAAGTCGAAGGCCTCGCTGGAACAGCGATGTGCGTGGACGGAGCCTAGCCACGATGTGGACTGAAAACGGTGTTGGAGCGGTCTGTTGGTGCCGATGGAATTGCACTTGTCCTGATTCTGGGCCTTACATTCTGCAACGGCTCCTGTAAGACCAGCCAAGCAAGGCATTCATCTAAGCCATAGCGGAAAGTTGCCTGTGCTTACATCCCGTCCAGCTCCACACCAAGCAAGGTCACTGAGGCCCACAAGGCGGACTACACGCCCCATAGGAGTGGGATGAAAACCGAACTCAAGAACCGCAGACCTTTAAGTTCACAGTGCCTGTGCCGTGCCAGTACAGAAGATTGCACCAAGTACATTGTAGAACTCTGCTTAGCCTGAGGATGATGACAAAGCATCATACTACGAGCGCCAAGAGGAGGCACCACATGACGAGTGCGAGATGCGGTGTATTTGCTGCCTGCTTAATTCCGTGGACTGCAGAGCGGTTGGAGGACGTGACTTTTCATCATCAGATCACGGTCCTGTGTTACATGTTCACATATTCACATTGGGCTTTGTGCGACTCATTCGTGCCTGTACACGGAGATGCAACTGCATATAGCATTGTTTCATTTTGCATTGTGCACAGGGTACCTGTGAGTCTCGTGAATGTCGGTGCAGTTTGGAACATCATAGAGTAAATGTGTCGTGCTTCTGCACCCATGTTAGCAGCAATGGATCTGGCGCCAGTCCCAAAAGCTAACCCCCGCGGCGCTTCTGAAATTTTTGTCGGCAGGCCGGTTCATTTTGCACGACATTGTGGATTTAGGCTTCCATGCGAGCTTGCAATGAGAGCCCCTTCCTGAGCAGCAGTGGAAGCTTGGGAAGGTTGCCGTCACCACCACCACGACGACCACGACCGGCGCAGCTCGTCGAAGACAGTTGTGAAGAAGTTTCCTCGCTCTATGGTGATACCAGGGTCAGTGTTGCGTGTTCGAGGCTCTCGTGAGTTATCATCGTATAGAGCCAGCCCATCCCATCGGCACGCGACACTGGAAGCCGAGGTGGACACTTCCATCGCAGGGGCCCAAGCGGAGCGAAGCCCCTGCAGTTTCGTAGTTACGTTTTTTGACGCACAAACGATCTCCAAAGGTGGAGGCCGGCTGGGAGGGCAGCAGTGACAGTGGGCGGTTGGCTGCGAAGCTAATCGTGGCCGCACGGCTCGGACAGATGCTTTGGGTTGTCTAGGCCTCTCCATGGGTCCGAAATCCTCGCTTGTAGATTCAGGGCTCGCAGCATGGCATTCAAGAGAGGTGGCGCTACAATCTCTTGCTGAAGTATGTTGCTTCGTGACAGAACTTCTCAGGATACGTGGATTAAAGTAATTACACTTTTTGTGTCTTGCTTCGGAACTGTGCAATGCATGCAAGGACCTGGGCGAGCAGAACTTCTTGACCGAGTGCCCCCACCAAGTGAGAGAAAGAGGCAGCAGGCGAAGCACGGGCACGCATGGGGGCATGCTTGCAGCATGTCCCTCAGTCCCTCAGCCGTGCTGAAGGAAATAGGGCATAGATGGACAGCCAGTCTGTAGATAGCGTAAAAAAGAGAAAGTTGAACACACGTTACATGCAAAACGTAAGCGAATTAATTACTGACACACGTGACTAGATTCAGTACACGAACACAAAATAAAAATAACAGATCTATTCATGCATACTCTGGGTGTGTGTGCATATATGTCTATACATACAGACATATAATGTGTACATAATAAGAATAATCATAATCATAATAACAATCACAATCATAGTAGTACTAATAATCATAATAATAATAAACGGATGTATGTATGTATGTATGTATGTATGTATGTGTGTATGTATAGATGTAATATATACTGCTGCAGAACAGGTTGCACGAATACGAAGCTGTTTCGATCCCGAAGTCTTGAAGTGCAGGCGGCTGAGAGCTGCGTTGCAGCTTTCGGGGTTCAGCCACAGGCCCGACACAGGAACTCCACACCCCTACGACACGCTTAAATGCCACCTTCGGTGACAGTTGCGACGGCCCTGGACCCATCTTCCCTTCCTTGACCAACCCCTAGATTGGCCAGTTTCAGTCAGGGCTTGCAGGCCTGTCCATGCAACCGTTCAGGTACGCGATCGTCTCAGGCTCCGGCCCTGACGGCACCCACCCAAAGAAGTGGTCGCTTGGCGCTGTCTTTTTCGGTGCTGAAAGACAGTTCGCAGCTCATCCCGCACCAAGGATCCTCAAGGGATCCAATGATGCCACCGCACCCATGGATGAGTGGGACGAGTTGAGTCGCACGGCCATGACAGACGAGTTGCAATGGGGCTTCGAGTGATCAAAAGTCGAAGGCAAGGCACAACAATGCAGCTTTCTTTAGGACCAGAGTAGATGCTTGGATAGCTGGATAGATGGATAGAAGGATAGATACCGTGCACTCGCACACTTTCTCACTGTGTAGCACGGCGTTTGTTCAAGTCAGTTCAAGTCCGGATGGGTTCTGCAACGAGGCAAGCACGATTCCGACGAGCCTTCGCCTGGAACTCGGCCTGTAGGGAAGCCATGAGCCAGAGCAGGTGTCTCTTGCCTGCGGGCCTAGAAGGCCTGGAACCTGTGAAGTCGGTTCTGACTTGAGCCCTGGCGGAGGTTCCCACCCGGTGAGCCAGGACGGCGGAAGCCGCTGCTGCTCTCAGTTGCGTGCCCGGCCGACGGCGGATGAGATGCACACAGATAGATGTGCAGCCACAGAAGAACTCCCATTGAGTGGGTGGCGATACATCATGTCCCAAGCCTTCTGCAGACTCATTGGATGTTCAAGCCTTGCTGCAGCAAGTTGTACATACAGATGGAAGAGGATAGTGTTCTGCAAAGACGGAGATCGCGAGGAGGGAAGTTAAAAGGTCAGCTTGCATGACATGTTGCAGACGCAGGAGAAGGGACTCATGTAAAGAGCAGCATCGTGATAATCAGTGAAATCCTTGCCAGAACCATTGTTCGTTGCCCGTTGTGCTGTGAAGGGATCTTGAGCGCGAGCTCCCCCCAGCTCCATCCGCCCGTGCAGCATCAGCATCCTTGCTTGCATTGGTTATCAGGTTTCGTGGGACCACTGTGAAGGTGTCATGGCCCATTTTTCTAGAGATGACTTGCAGCAGGCCCGTGTCAAGAAGTCTGAGCTCAGCACAAGCATGCTACGATCAACAGGGGTTGGCATCCCCGACCGCTATACAAGAGCTTCTGTATAGTAAAAGATGGGCCTGTGAAAGCCGGTGGTCCGCCTTGCACCTTTTCGTTTCGTATTCTGTCGGACTTCTCAGGCCATGCCTTCCAAGCGCCGCAACAACGGCCGCTCCAAGCACGGCCGCGGTCACACGGCCATCGTCCGTTGCTCGAATTGTGCTCGCTGCGTGCCGAAGGAGCCGTAGGGGGTTCAGACTGGGTGCTGGCATGGTAGGGGTGCATTCCCGACGTAGTGACGTACCGCCGAATCGGGAAGTCGTCGCAGTTCCGTGAAACGCATGTGGGACATCACGACTTGGATGGAACATGTCAAGACTCACTCCCTAAGCAAAGCACTCATGTGAACGACGTTGAACCGGAGTGGATCGCTGTGAAGGACAAGGCGATCAAGCGGTTTCAGGTCCGCAACATGGTGGCTTGGCATACATGAAGTTATGCTGCCGTTGTGTGTTTTGTGGTTACTACTGACCCACGGCTGTGTAGGCTTACCTGACATGCCGTCGACTGAGAGAGCCTTTCAAGGAAGACTCTTCTGCTGGACACCTAGATTCACGTAACAGCCCTCACAGGAATTCACAAAGTGTGTGGTTCGAGCTACCCTCTCGTGCTATGGGCCTCGGTGCAGTCGGGATCATTACAACGCAGGTCAGAACTCGTGTAGTGCGACCATAAACCGCGGCCGGGGGGGGGGGGGGGGGGGNNCAGGTGTGCGGGAAGGCCGGATCCGGACCCTCCCAAACCCGTTAGGTCCTCCAAAAATCTGTGAAGGATGCGACGGACTGGTCACACCTGTCGATCGTTTACGACTAAGGTGGATGCCTCCTCCCAGAGAGATTTGCGCGAAGCCAGTGTGTACTCCAGCTTCATGCTCCCCAAGCTCTACATGAAGATGCTCTACTGTCCTGGGCTGAGCCATCGAGTGACAGTTGATGGGTCGCAGTACACTGAAAGTATGCCCATTGCATACGCGCACGCAGATACCCCGAGACATTCTACAACCTTTCCAGCTCTTAACCATTTTCAGAGGAGCCCTGCTGGTTATAGCTAGCATGCGTCGAAGCTCCAGATAAGAAGAAGACAAAAACACGACTCAGGCGTGTCCTGTGCGATCCATGGCCGTGTGGTCCGCGTCCGCAACAAGGTGCTGCGTGCCAGTCCAGAAGGCCCGGAGCGAAGCGTGAACGTAGTGCTTCTTCACTAGATTCAGAAGCGAGAGGTGAGGTCTAGGCTTCGAGCCTGGTCGGGAAAGCCCATGTGTTAGCGCACTCTGAGTCGCACTGATGTATAGTAGCCTGAGGACACTGGCATCTTGACCGCTCTTAATTTGCCACAATAACCTTTTGATGTAATTAACATTGGGTTGAAGATGTGTGTGAGTGTGCTGCCGTGGAGTGCAATCCAAGTGTACACGCTGAATCTATGTTCGCAGCCCTAGGCAAACGACTGGTTTGGCTATCGTCTACCATGCCAGTCAACCGCTGACCATGCCGCAAAACACTTCTATACAAACGATTCTGGTTCAAGAGGACGCTGCACGGCCCACACTCCGGCGGGTTGGGGGTTTCTGTCTGCTGAGGTGTTTGGTCCAGTCCCCACGGACTGATGACAGCGCAGAGACTGCTGGCTACAACAACACTGGCGAGCAAACATGCCGAAAAGTAGTTATTCATTCAGACAGCCAATGGGCCATCAACGCCCTAAAGTTCCTCAAGGGTCAGTGCATACGCAGAAGACACAAGCAAATTATCAACTACACAAAGGCAGTTTTGAGATAGCTCTCCAAATTCCACCTCCAATGAAGCGCACGCAGGGCACAAAGGCAGTGAGCGCGCCGACTGCCAGAAAGGGAAGCGACGCGATATACCGAGACCAAACCGCTTCCACAAGCGCAGCTGCCCGAGGGGTTTTCCCAACGCAGCAGTTCCCGCGGGCAGACCACTTCGCAGTTTGGCGCGTTGTCCAGAATCAAAACAAGCGTTTCAGGGCCGAAAGTCTCACCTGATGGTAGGCCACAAACCGGTTGCTCTGAGGCCACGTGACGTGCAGAGACCATTGCAAATGCTTGAACGCATCGCAGCACTTGAGCTTCTGCAGACCTATAACGGTCTTCGCACCCAACCTGAATTACCGTCATCTTGGCTGGAGGCCAGAGTCGTCGTAGCCATCTTTAAGGGAAAAGGTCAGGACACGGACCCCACGAACCACAGACCTATTTCGCTTTTTAAAGTTGCCTATTTCGCTTTTTAAAGTTGCCTACAAGTTTTTGGCTTCCATGGTTCAGGTTCGCCTTTCGCGGTTAATCGAACCCCTTCTTCTTAGGCCGACCCAGTACGAGTTCAGACCAAACCGAGGCGCGAAGCACCCCTTTTTTGTTCTTCGTCGCGCGATGGCGTTGTCTAACACTAACGCAACACAAAAAGAGCCCCTCGATTCGTTGTTTCTCCATTGGAAGCATTGGTTTCATTCTATCGATCACACCGCCCGTTTGCTAGCGTTGCGAAGATGCAGGGCACCGCGAGCGGAGCATACCGGAGGTTTTGGATCAGGTATCAGACAGGGATGCCCTGTGCACCCATGCCTGTTCGTCATTCTTCTTTCGGTAATCTTTGATGACGTCGACACCTCCCATCGTGAAAACGGTGCTCCAACCGATGTTTGGTCGACCCAGCACCCCTGCTTTGATCTCGACTATGCGGATGACACCCTCCTGCGTTCATTGACCGTGCCGCAACTACAAACCGTTCTGCACACACACTTGAAACCGAAGCCAGTCTAGACGGGTGTTGCTGAACCAGAGTTGCTCATCTACTCCCGAATCACAAACCATACCGTATGGCTCCCTGCAGGATACCCAAGAAGGCCCTCCGACGACCATCTACTCAGATTGGACAGATCGCTCATTCCCAAAGTTGAGTCGTCCCCAAGCAGCGAACCTCTTTACTGTGTGGTTTTCCAAGCCCCTGACAAGGACCGAATCTTACTTCAGGGTCGCAATGGAGGACGCCAAATCCCTGCTGCTCTGCGGTACTTTAAGTCCATTTCTGGCCAAACCGCCTCGGGTCATAGCATCATTGGTTCGCGCGTAACGACAAAGCTCAATGATATCTTTGACAGCATCCCCAGCCACGAAATTCATATCATTCAAGTCAGTTCATTGCCAGATTCATGGAAGAGCTTCCTCATGAGATTGGAAAAGTGCCAACGAACAAAAAGAAAGCCGTACATTTCTGACGACACATGGCAGCTCCTCTTTGACTCTTTGATAAGCAAAACGAGTTCAAACATCAAACGAACCAAAATCACAAAACATTGCGTAACAACTGGCGCCAGGACAACCGTAAACGCTTGTAAACAAGGATACATGGGAAGAAACTGGTGCCCAAACATGGCAACTTTATAGATAGTGCAGGCAACTCGATCCCAGAATCGTGCTTCCCAGCCAAGGCGGCAGAATACCTAGCAGAAGTTCAGTGGAAAGCTCCGGACGGAAACTACTACTCTTTCCGCAAACAAACACTAACCCTAACAGGCGAGAACATCAAGTATACGGCTACCAGAGCCAGAGAGTCCGCAGGAATCGGATCCATCAGAGAGTCAGGAAGAGCCTTCGACCGTTTGAGCTGTTGGAAGCTGTTGGAAAGATCGAAACTTGGCACGCTGCCAAAGTAGCAGCTTTGGGCAGAAACGCACGCAGAGATCCCCGGAACGAAAATCTTCGCCAGAAGGTCGGTTCTTGTCTACGTAAGAGCATTGTTATTCTTTGGTATCGACAGTGCATCCGCTTATGAGTTTCGTTCGTCTACGTGTACCGACATGTTTGGTCTTTCGTGTATCAGTTAAAGCTGTCATGTCAACTTTGGCAACAAATGGAGACACGAAGCAAGAAGCGGACTTGCTGCAGGCCGCGTCTACAAGCCGCCGCAGAAGGACTCCGTGTGGTTCGGCTTTGCTCGTTCGGTGACACGGGCTTGCCTAGTCGTCGCAAAACACAGATAAGCTTTCCCCCGATTCGTAGAGACATCCGCGGAAACATCGTTCGTTCATATGCTGTCGCGCAGGGCGGTGGCAAAGGCAACTGAGCAAGCTTGAAGCCGGACACTAGCACCAAGGGAAAGAACTCGCTGGGGAAAAAAGCAGGCATGCAGTGTTCCAGTGTTATTTTCCCATTTGTGAAGCTTGTCCGTCCGACGATGTCGACAGAGTAGTTGGAGCCGGGACCTTGACACCTTCTGATTTGTCGGGAGTGTATAGCACGAGAGGAAAGTCCACAATGCTAAGCATGGCAGCAACAGGCTCGGGGAGGACATCTGCGTTACCGCGTTGCCTAGGATTGGCCCGAGGCGAGCGAAGCTCGAAGTCATGAGCAAGAGACAGCATGTCTACATGCCATCACAGATTGTGATGCCTGCGCACAACAAACAGGCAAGCAACATTTGTTGACAGCAAGAGTTCGTGCACAGCACTTGCACACACTTGCCGAGT